CCCTGAAGGAGAGTTTTCCAGAGAGACAAGAGAGAAAAGAATATCAGGCAAATGGATCATACAAGCTGTCAGGATGTGGAGGGTATGAGGGGGGTGGCTATGGTGGATGAGTGTATCAAGCCAAAGGGGTCAGCAGGACCGAAGCATGAATGGCCTTTCATGGCCTAGAAGGATTGTAGGCCACTAGGACCACTAAAAGACTTTAAGCAAGACAGTGGCATAGTCACATTTCTGTTTCAGGGACATCACTTTACCGTAACTGCAATTGTGAATTCAACTGAGAGAAAGGACTGATGAGGAGGCAGGTCAGGAGGCCACGGCACTGGCCAAGCCAAAAGGGTTCTTCTGGCTAACTTAAAACAATGGAAGCTGGAATAGAGAAGAGCGGATTCTAAAGACAGCTGATAAATTAAGTTTTGGACATAAGGACAAAGAAGAAAGTGGGCAACTCCCAAATTTCTAGCTCAGGAAATGGAATGGTTAATGCACAATTTTCCAAAATAAGGAATAAAAGAAGAGAAAGGTTTAGAGGAGTACTTAATGCACTTTGAACATGTTTAGGGTGTGATCTGCTTGAGACGTCCAGGTGAAAACATCAAGGATGCAGAAAGAAACACAGGCTTCAAATGCAGAGGAGATATAAAATTGGTTCTCAGGTTGGTGTACTGATGCTCTTGACACTGGGGTGTGGATAAGACAACCAGAGGAAAGAAGTGTGAAGGGCAAGAGAATCAAGAACACACCCTGGATAACATCAATATTTATGAGACAGGTAAAAGACAGAGAGTCAGCCATAGAAACTGGGCAGAATCTTCTGCTTCTTAAGAAGATAGCAATTTTCAGGTTAAAGGGTCTACTCATCTCTCCCAAGTGACTTTGATATGATCTCCAGTTTCATAGGAGCAGCAATAAATATCTTCATTACATGAAGTATCTGCTTTAGAATCAGGCTACAACCAGACAGGGACAAAGATAGTAACTAAAACTAGACAGGAGACAATGACTATGGCTACATTTAGGATGCTGAGTTAAATCAACGTCAACTGTAGCCCCCCAATTTCTTGGCTGATGTGTTATACGGAATAGATTATGTAAATCTTACAAGGCATTCAGAACACAGCAATGGAGTGATCATTAGGTGAATAACCTCTTATGAAGACAGAAAAGGAAAGAATTGCAAAATCTCTATCTCTGTTAAGGGCCCCCACCCAGAGGAAGCCAACTTCATGCAAATGCCCAGGTTTTGGTGTCAAGGGCTGATTCCTAGCCAGAGGTTGCCAGCTGCAGAGGGCGGGGCTCTATTTTGGGCTGCCTGCTGTCCCTGAGCCTAGCCGCGTCTGGTTTGAGCAGCATGCAGCCCCAGTGACTCACACACCCATGCAAACCGCCTGTGGCTCAGTGGCATGGCCTCGGAATGCCAGCCTTAGGCCAGCTCCTGCCTCACCCCATTACACTGGGATAAATAAATAAAGAGCCTGCCAGCAGCCACACAGCCTGATAGCAACCAGATGGGGAGAGAGGGAGGCCTGGGCAGGGCCAAGGGAAGGAACTCCCTCCAGTGGACTTGACTGAGAGCGGGCTATGCCAGACCATCATCCTAAACTTCCTCTTTGGCACAGTTCCTACTGCCTGTCATAGCAGTCCCCAGCTCCAGGACTTTTTTCTCACTCTTCTAAAGGTGCCCCTCAGCTCCTGATGCTGGGAAATCCTCTGGAGGGGGGCTTTGCCCTATGTGAGGACCATGCAAACAGCCACCCTGCCCAGTCTTGAGTTGAATCAACATTACCAGTATTCTTCCCCTACTTAGGCCACTATTGAGTGCCCCCTTGGGTTCCTTACAGATAAAAAATCGGAATTTCTTATGAAGAGAAGAAAAACAAAAGGACCAAATATGGGGAAGTAAGCCCTGCTCAACTCTTAAATATTTTTTAGCCATAGTATCCTAGAATCCCCCCCTACCGCTACTACTCCTAGAAACCCCCTCTGTCCCCACTACTGCTCCAATGTCTATGGCCTCTTGCCTAGCAATACTCCTAATAAGACTAGGAAAAAGTGACCCCAGGCACTGACCGCATGGCCCTCTGACATTGGCCTGGCCTCTCTGTGTCTTCATCCCAAGCTCTCTCCTTGGTTTGTTTATCTTCCTATCCCAAGTTGCTTATTTTGATGGAACATCCTCTCAGTTCAGTCTTGGGTGACCCCATGACCCTTCTATGTCCTGTTTGTAGGACCCCAGGCAAGCACAGTAACTGCAAAGCTGCAGTAGCTATAAGAAACTCTACAGTCCCGGTAGGAGACCTTTCAGTTCTAGTAGTTATGCAAGCTATTTCTGAGGACCACACAGTGACCCTAGAAGTCACAAGAATTCACATTACTCCAACCGTTGTCTCCCCAGCTAAAGGTGTGTACAATCAGCTGAAGCAGTAAAACAAAACAGGAATGATTTCTAGACTGTAAATTAAGAAATGTGGGATGTCCTCAGCATACAGACCTTAGGCACATCTATTGACCTCTCCAGATCAAAGTCTTCATCTATAACATGGAAAGCTATGCCACCTCTCTCTCAGATCCTTTCCATATATTATAAAATTCTACACTCAGAACCTGGAGGACCAGAGCTCTTGAAGTAATTCCAAAACACCAACACCCACCCTTGGCTAGCACCTGGGTTCTACATGCCTTCTCATTCCATTCTGCTGGGCTCTCTCCTCTCAATAGCATGAAGAAGATGAGCCTCCAGTTTTACAAATGAGAAAACAGTGGCTCTGAGAGAAGTGATTTGTCCAAAGCTGCAAACTAAACCATGAGAATAAGAGAAGTCCTTGAATACAGCTCTACAGTTTATCAGAAAACCACATTACCACTACTTTCACAAAATTCCCCGGGACAGAATTATCAAAATATTCATGCACACACTTATTGAGAGCTTACCTCTTCTAAGCACTCAGGTCTATGCTGGGGATACAGAAATGCATTAAACATACTCCTTGCTCTCTAAGAGTCCACAGATCAGTGTAGAAAAAAGTTATGGTCTTACAGACATATAAACAGTATACCACAGTGTCTCAAGTGATAAAACAGAGGTATAAACCAAGTATAACAGCAGGGAAGAAGGATTATCTTTACAAGGAAAGTCCGGAAAGATCTCCCAAAGAAACTAAAGCTGATGTTACAAGACACATAGAAGCAAGTGCAGTGGCACACACCTATAATCCCAGCTACTTGGGAGGCTAAGGCAGGAGGGTCACAAGTTTGAGTCCAGCCTGGGCAACTTAGTGAGACCCTGTCTCAAAATAAATAAAAAATAGAAAGGGCTGGAGATGTAGCTGAACACTTTCTGAGTTCAACCCCTAGTACCTTACAAAAAAAAGTTTACAAGGAAGATAAGGCCAAGGCCTTGGGCACTCTAGATAAAGGAAAGAATGTATACAAAGACATAAAGACAAGGGAAAACAGCTATGGGGAAATTAGAAGTCATTTTATGTAGCTGAAGCAAAAAGTCCAGAAGTGAAGGGAAGAAGCCACATAGGTAGGAGGTGCACGAATAGCAGGGACGGGTGGGAATTAGCCTAGCACTGCTTTAACAAAGGAGCTGAGGCAGGACACTGGTGTGTCAGCCCTGGGCTGCTGTGTTATTCTCCTTTACTGCTGAAATTAGAGACAGGGGAACCCATGTGAGAGAAAAGTATCACAACTCTGATTTAATACCCTCCTTCTCCTCATAAAGACTTGACACCTCTTCTGCTTCAGGATTTACCAATACAGTTTCCTTCTTCTCCAGAGCTACAACTCCTTCAGTACATAGACAGAGCACTCACCTCACATAGTTTGCTCTTAGCAGTAAGACCCTGACTATAATAGCTCAGTGTAGATGGAGAAGTTTTCCAAATCAAGAACACCTGCTTTATGCCTAACCCTGTGAAAACTGCTAGTCTGGGGGTACCAAAAAGGCACAAAACATGAGAAGTTTAAAACAAGCAGAGGACAGAGAAGAAATAATAATATTCTGTGGTGGTCATGCCCGCCTGTAATCCCAGCACTCGGGAGGCTGAGGCAGAAGGACTAGCATGAGTTTGAGGCCAGCCTGGGCTACATGGTGAGTTTAAGGACAGCCTGAATTACAAAGCAAGACCTTGTCTCAAGAAAATAAAAAACAGCCACAGATATAGCTCAGCGGCACAGCACCTGCCTGGCAAGCATGAGATCACGAGTTTGATCCCTGGTACCAAAAAAAAAAAAAAAAAAAACCCAAGGATGGTGGTGCGTGCTTATAATCCCAGCACTCAGGAGGCTGAGGCAGGAGAATCGCTGTGAATTTGAGGCCAGCCTGAACTACATAGTGGGACCTTGCCTCAAAAATAAATAAATAAATAAATAACAAAAGAAAATGAATAATCTACACATAACACAATATTATAGTAGCATCATTTACTTACATAATAAAGTACCAACTTGGGTAACATGTATAATTAGAAAATGGGGCAATAATACTAAGGTACTAACTATGTAACCAACAAGTCCCAGAAGAGTTAGAGAAAGCAAAGATCAATATTGACTGGTATTATCAAAGGTCACTATTATTAATACTCCCACTCTTTGGCTTCAATAGATATTTCTGTTGGCCAAGCTCAATCCTTAGAAGGGAAACCTAGGCAGAAGCTTCTGACAGGCCACAATTATCTACTCCCCATTCATTCCTCTGCCAGGCCCCTTGCATAAACACTGTGATTTTCCACAGCCTGCGGTGCCCACAAGACAGTCCCCAAATGGTAGCCCTGAGCTTTTTACCTTCCTCTACGCTGGACGCTGAAGGGACTCTTTCCCCCTTCCCTCCCCTGTTTTCCTTATGTACATCTCAGGCTTTATCAGGCTGTCTAAAGGAGCTTTTTCAAAGGACTTTCCAACCATGCAAGTCACCTAGCACCCAAAATGCAAGCCACCACCCAGGCATTTTGAGTGCTCAAATTTGTGGAAAGGGAAAGGAATAATAAATACATTACCTCTACCAAAAATTTGTCCAAGAAAGAATTTTCTTCAAATGGCTCTGTCTTCAATCTACCTATAATAAGAAGGGATGGAGAAGAACTATGAGTCTGAAGATGAGCTTCCTACTTGTGAGAGCTCAGGATTTCTTGGGGAAGAGGAGAAAGATGCAACATGCAGACAGCCCTAGCCTCGTGGGAGAAGAAAACCTGAGGGGATGGGGGCAAATGGGAGGAGGAGAGGGCAGTTGGCAACAAATGGCAGGTTCAGGGGTAGCATCTGTTGTAAGTGATTTTTCTGCCACAAAGATAAAGGTCAAAAAGAATTTTTAGACTTAAGTTGGAGCTATGCAACCTTATAAATTCCCAAGTTCATGCTGCCCTAGTACAATTTAGTATAGCTGTCTGTTGGCCCTTTTCCAGGCTTTCCTTGTCATTGCCTAGGACACGTCTGGACTCGGTTATAGCTTCTACCCGCCACTTGGGCCCCGGCCAGGTACTCCAGGCAGAGAGAAGTGGCATTTAGTATCCAGCCTCCAGTTCCTGGTCAGCACCCAGCACCCACTCTGGGGGAAGCACTTTTCAAATGCAAATGAGCCTCCAGCTTTTCTGACTGTTCCCCTCCCCACTCAAGTCCCCCAGGAATGTCCCCTCACCTCTGCTCAATGTAGCCCCACTCTCCTGGTAGTCCTGGATCTCTAGATCTTTCATCCGAAGCAAGGTTGCTAGCTCCCTCACGTGGCATTGCAATGCCAGACTCATGCCCATCAGAGGACGAATCAAATGTCGGGAGACCTTCGATGGAGAAGAGATTTCAGTTAGCCAACAGATTCTCACAAAGTACCCGCTAACCTGCATTAGGTACTAGGAAAAAAACAAAAAAATAAAGAATAAATGTTTTCACAGGAACTTACAGTTTCACAGGCAAGCAGTCCATTCACACGAACATTCAAACGTAATAATTAAGTATATTAAAGAGGTTCAAAGATTTTCTGTACGGCCCAGAGAAAGTATGGATAGATAACTTAAGAGTTGTGATTTAAAGAGAAGGAAGTGAAATAGCTGAGAAGTGGAAAATGTTGATTCCACTCTTAGCAGTGGCTGAGAGATAAAAGCAGACCTAAGTAACCTTCAGAAAATAGGTAGAGCTAAGCCAGAGTATATCACCAGGAGTATAACTGAAGGAAGAAGTCAACAGGAAGCAGTTTTGGAAGTCAAATTAGAACCAAACCTTTAGTAAGAGCCTTTATTCAGAGCTGATGATAGCCCCAAATGTGCCCCAAGATTCAACTGCTCCCACAAATGTGGCAGAGTCTACAGTTACTGTAGTAATAGGACCCAGTCAGTTACCAAGAGACTAGCCTACGAAGAAATAAAGCAGCCCCACTATAGAAACCTTACTTTTAACAAGCAGTAAGAATACAAGCAGATTGGGGATGGGGATTTAGCTCAGTGGCACAGCGCCTGCCTGGCAAGTGTAAAGTCGTGAGTTTGATTCCTGGTACCAGAAGAAAAAAAAAAGAATACAAGCAGATAATATTATTTGGACAATTAAAGGCTGATATCTTGTACTGTGAGTAACTAATTTAAAGATAACAATGTGCAGTGTATTAACCATTGTTACCCTCCTATTATCTTGTTTTGAAATTTTGGTTTTTTTCTCCTTAAAATAAAAAAAAAAAAAAAATTGGTACATGCCTGTAATCCCAGCACTCAGGAGGCTGAGACAGGAGGATTGTTGCAAGTTTGAGACCAGCCTGGGCTATAGAGTGAGCTCAAGGCCAGCCTGAACTGCACAGTGAGACCCTGTCTCAAAAAAGACACACACACACACACACACACACACACACACACACACACAAAGAATACAAGCAGAGCCATTCTGCAGAGCAGCTAGGGCAATGCTATCATAGACAATGGATAATCATTTCATTCACCTATGCAATGTATCCATTAGCCTCATAAAGAAAATAACTAAACTCAACAACCTGTTTGTGGCTAGGGGATGTTATCAGAGCTCCTTTCCCTTCCCCCAAGGAGAAGAACGAAAGGAAACACTAAGAAAAGCCCTAGATCAGGGTCAGCAAGCTTTCTTCAGAACGAGTCAGAAAGTCAATATTTTCAGCTCTGTGGCCCATACGGTCCCCGCTGCAACTACTCAACTTTGCTCTTGTGGCACGCGAAGCCAGCCACAGACAATATGTAAACAAATGAGGTGGCTGTGTTCCAATACAACTTTACAAAAACAGGCAGTGAGCCAGATGTGGCCTGCTGGCCATAGTATGCCAACCCCTGCCCTAAATTGAAAAAGGAGCACTTAAGACAAGACACCCCAAGGGATTTGAAATAAGGGACACAAATGTCCCATAAGATGTGTAAGCCAGTGAGGCGTGGTGGCACACGTCTGTAATCCCAGCACTCGGGAGGCTGAAGCAGGAGGATCGTTGCGAGTTCGAGGCTAGCCTGCACTACACAGTGAGGTCAAGGCCAGCCTGAACTGCATAGTGAGACCCTGTCTCGAAAAGACAAAAAAAAAAGTGTATAAGCCACACTTATCTGGATCAGGACCAGAAGTCTGGACTCCTCAGATTCATGCTTTCATTTTTTTTAATTAATTGTCTAGGTAAAAGTTACCACTAAAAACTTTTCTTGTGTTGTGACTCAAATTATGAGGAAAAGACTTTTTTCCACGTTTACCTAGAAAAGACTGGCTATGAGGAAGTTGGCTGAGAGAGGGATTTAGTGCCAGTAACTTTTGGACCAGCCTCTGCATGCTAGCACAGAGTAGAAAGCCAGAAGTGGGGTCCAGGAGTAGATTCTTGTCATTTCTGTCACACAGCACATCCCAACCTCGTACTATCCTGAGACCTAGTATCCAGGACATTAAGTCCCCAGGTCAGACAGCAAAAGATGAAGCAACACAGTACCCAAGTCAATTTGACCCAAACCTACTGGGTGCTTAATATGTGCTCTAAGATCCCTGTCCTTAAAGATCTACAACAGCTAAGGGGATCACAAAGTACTGTGGGTAAAGAAATAGACATTTTCAATCTTTTCCAAAAGAAACACACAATTTCCTCCCAGATCACCTGATTTCCCATAGAAATGTTCGTATGTCCCAGGCAGGAGAGAGAATGGCAGTTACTGACCCCCAGATGAATTATATCCGCTGACACAGCGAAACAGGCAATAGACTGGGATTAAGCAACAGATTTTAGTCCTGGCTCTGGCAGCATCTTGATATAGTCCTTTTCTTTGTGAAAAAGAAATAATAGGGGCCAGGGATATAGCTCAGTGGCACAAGCATCTTCCTGGCAAGTGTAAGGTCCTGAGTTCAATTCCCTGTCCTCCCCTAAAAAGAATTACTGATCCAAAGAAATAGTAGGGAGTTGGAAGGTTTCAATTTCACTATAATCATAAAGTAATGTTACAAATATTCTTATTTAATCCTCACAAGTCCATAGTAAGGCTGTAAGTGGTATGTCCATTTCACAGGTGAAGAAACTGAATCCTAAAACTTCCATACTTATCCAAGGCAGGAAAAGTCTGGTAGTGGTAGGGCTAATTACAAAATCAAGTCATCTGGTTCCAAGCCTGTGATCATTCTACCACTAAAAAATTTGGAATGTAATTCTTAGATATCAGAGAGTAGCCAACAGAGTGACAAATTTGAAAGTCAAAATATGGAATGTCAAAAATTACATTAGATACTAGAAAGGTCAGACAATAGGAAGAATTGATGAAGACAAGTCGAGATAGGCTCAGAGTTATAAAGCAGAGACCCAGCACTCGGAAGCCTGAGGTCAGAAGATCACAACAGCTTGAGGCCTGCCTGGGCTCTACAGTGAGGTGAAGGCCAGTCTGGACTATATAGTGAAACCCTGTCTCAAAAGTACCAAACAAGGGGCTGGGGATTTAGCTCAGCAGCAAAGCACCTGCCTGGCAAGCGCAAGGTCGTGAGTTCGGTTCCCGGTACAGGAGAAAAAAAAAAAAAACAAAAAAAAAGTACCAAACAAAAAGAGTAGAGGCCCAGAGACCCAAAGTCTTATATATTCCTTTTTGGCTTGTATGTTCAGTACTGGGAATCGAACTCAGGACCTCACCCTTGCCAAGCAAATGCTGTGCCACTGAGCTATATCCCTGGTCCTATATATTTCTTAATATCCTGCAGAAACCTAACCATTAAACTCCGAGTGTGAACACAGTGTGTGGTCGCCACTGCAAATGGGTCTGGAAAACAGTTTGGCATGAGACGAGCAGATTAAAGATGCAAATATTTCTTGCCCTAGATATTTACTTCCAGGAATTTATTCCCACATTTACACATAGAAGAAGTGAATATTAGGGTAATTACTGTATAGCACACAAAGGAGTAGAACAATTAAATATGTATTAATACAACCATTATGTAAATGCCACGTTGCTACTAAAGATATTAATGTGAGTCTTTTAAATATATTGATATGAATGATCTCTAAATTCTTTAAGTAGAAAAGTTAAGACAGTGAGCAGTGGGTACAGCATGATACCATGTGTAATAAAACTCTACATATATGCAGATATGTATTTGACTGTCTGAGTTTATGGTCAAGTCACATTTTATTTTATTTTATTTTATTTTTTTGGTCTTCTTGAGACAGGGTTTCGCTACGTAGCTCAGGCTGGTCTTGAACTCACTTTGTAGCCCTAGCTGACCTTGAACTCACAGCGATCCTCCTGCCTCAGCCTCCCGAGTGTTGGGATTACAGGCATGTACCACCATGCCCAGCCTCCTAAGTCACACAGAGATACACTCTGTATACAGCTTTTTAAAGAAGCCACATGAAGCAGGTATCACAGGTTGCTTTAGAGAAGGAAAATGAAAGACTAGAGAAGGGAGCAAAAAGAAGATCTTTTTTTCACTCTATACCTTTAAATGCTGTCTAAGATGTTTGCCTTTGGCAGGAATTGCCCATTCAGGAAAAAAAAGTAAATGAAAACTATCACAAGAATGAAAAATAAACAAAAATTATAACAGTGTGACTTCACAGATGCACGCACAAGCTGAAATAGTATCCGCCTACATCCTCACCAGTGTTCAGGGCTCTAATTCTTTCCCACAAAGCTTTCTTCGGTTTGGGGTTTCCCTGTCATGACAGTCTTCCTCTTTTAATAATAAATATTTTATTTTAACTTAAAGAACAGTAGTTCATCAACTGTTCAAAGCCAATGTCTTTCCATGGCTAAGCAAGACTCATCCTTCTCTAAATACTTTTGCATCTTTCCTTATTATAGCTCCTTACTTAGAAGACTGTGCCAGAACAGCTAGTCTTTCTTTACATTTTTCTTCAATTGTAATATTATTATACAGCATGGTGGCATATGCTTGTAATCCCAGTATTCAGGAGGCTGAGGCAGGAGGACTGCCGTGAGTTTAAGGCCAGCCTGAACTGTATAACAAGGCCCTGTCTCAAAAATAAATAAATACATAATATTATTTTACAAACAGTATTATTATACAAGTGCTCTTCACTGTTTCTTTTCTCAGTGGTGGGAATCAAACCCAGGGCCTGGCACATACCAGCCAAGTACTCTACCCTTAGGACACTCCCAGCACACTATTATTCTTTTGAAAGAAGAAATTTTAGAGTCCATCAGACCCCAGTGAGAGCTGCCTCCCAGTCACAGTATTTGGAATTTGTAGAGCTGTGTAATGCAAAATGAGACTGTCTCTTACCAGGAATTCCCACAAGCTACCCAAGTTTGCTGCTCAAGAGTAAGCATTACTAGGGAAATAGTGCCCCCTGGTGTCACTTAAGTCTTAGGGGTTTTGAATGAAATTCTGTATCAAAAGTAGGATGAAAGATTTTACGAGAAATTAAATTAATTAAAATCAACAAGTGTAGTGCCAAGTGTGGTGGTGCACGCCTGTAATCCCAGCACTCGGGAGGCTGTGGCAGGAGGATCGCTGTGAGTTAGAGGCCAGCCTGGGCTATATAAGTGAGTTTAAGGCCAGCCTGAACTGCATAGTCATAACCTGTCTCAAAAGAACATAATTAATTAATTAATTAATTAAATAAAATAAAATTAACAAATGTGAGTGATGATTCTATGCCAGGCACTGTGGCCAGGCCTTGGGAATTCATGAAAAGTAGTTCCCCCAGCATTCCAGGCTACCTTTATGAGGTTCCAGATAAAAAATAAATATCAATCAACAGTTTCTCAACAGGTCTTTTATCCCATTCTTCGTTTCACGTAGAGATGCCAAAGCACCACACCCAGCTAAAGGCAGGATCTGGGAAAAGATGATCACTTTCTACAGACCTCTCTGCTGATAAATCTGTACTCCTGGGCTCCCACAGAGGCTCCTGATCTCTAAGTGCTACTGACTGAAACCAGCCCTGTCATTCCAGAAACTACTTCTCAATGCCCACTCTTCATTTCTAACATAAGCACTTGGGCACCGAAGCTACAAGTGCGTATGAGATAGGACTCTCCTAAACCCTGAGAGTGGGCTTTCAGACTATACCAAGCCAGAGCTCGAATTCAGCTCATTCATTTATAAGCTGGACAACTCTGGACAAAGCTGCCTTCAACAACCTCAGTCCCTTGCTCTGAAAAATGAGGATAATAATACATATCTTGCAGGAAAGTCACAAAGAACACAAGATGAGACAATGCTCAGAGTCACTGGCACATACCCCACCCTGTTGCTAGAGTGGTTTTTTCCTCCTGTTTTTTGTTTTTTCAGTGTTTTTGATAAGCACAAATTGGATCATGTTAAACCCCTGCTTTAAATTTTTCAACAAATCTCTATTGCCTGTGAGATAAAATCCAAATTCACTGAGTCCTTCATGACCTGGCCACTGCCTACCTCATCTCTCACATCTTCCTATTTGTCCTGCGGTCATGAAGTTTCTTCTACTTGTCCTACACTTACACATCTCCATGCTTGCCGCCTACAACAATTCTTCTCTTTATTTTCTCCCAACTAGTTTCTACTTACTGTCAAAACTCAGCTCAGAAATTCTCTCCTCAAGCCATATGTGGTACTATATGCCTGAAATCCCAGCACTTAGAAGGCTGAGGCAGGAGGATTGCAGGTTTGAGGTTAGCCTGGGCTACGCAGTGAGACTGTTTCAAAAAACAAAGAGAGAGAAAGAAAAAAAGAGAATAAGAAGGAAAGAAAGAAAGAAAGACAGAAAGAAAGAAAGAAAGAAAGAAAGAAAAGAAAAGAAAAGAAAAGAAAAGAAAAGAAAAGAAAAGAAAAGAAGAAAAAAGAAAGAAACTTCCTCTTCAAAGAGGTTTTCTCTATTCCTCTAGCCATCCTGGGCCTGCCTCAGGGAAAGAACTTATCACACTGTATCAGAATTTCCTGTCACCTTACTAGGTTATAAACTCCAGGAAGAGATGCCAAATAATTAGCACATAGGTGATGCTTTATAAATGTTTAGAAAATAAATTAATGAATAAAGTCATCTAACAAAGTGTGTTAGTTCAAACTCTGCTGCCTTTGCAAAGAAAGGATATATCGGTCAAGAATCATTTTTGCCTCCTGTCTAGTTAAGGACAGTTTTCTGACAGGAGAAGAATATCACAAAAATATAAGGGCACCTAAAGCTTTATCTCAAGCAGCAATTCTACCCTCTATCTGAACTGCACTTACCAGAGAAGGACTAGCCAGGCTGCAGTGAAAATGCCAATAGAAGGGGAGGCCGGAGAGCTCGCTCCGCACCCGGAGAATCAGTGCCTCTGCCCCGCGATCACAGCAGAAAGCAGCTTCATCAGGTTGGGCACCGTCTTTCAACAATGAGCAAAGCAGATTATCCAAATGACAGAGAAAAGCTTCAGGGGGCGCAGTCAGGCGCTTGTTCAGCTCCTAAAGAGAGAGGATTTGTACAGAATGAGGGTGCCAAAGGAAACTGACTCCCTGTGAGCAACAGCAAGGGACGGTCCTGGTTAACAGGGCAGGGGAGGATGAGAGGGAGAGAAAAACATCAGAACAGATAAGAAAAGGGGCTGGGGGGGCTGGGAATTTAGCTCAGTGGCAAAGCGCCTGCCCGGCAAGCGCAAGGTCGTGAGTTCAGTTCCCAGTACCGGAGAAAAAACCAAAAAAAAAAAAAAAAGTCTGTTTTTAAGCACGTATGTGCATATTTT